ATTAGCAGTTTATAAAAGTTAATCCATAATCATCATAGCCTCATAGCATAGATGAAGAAAGTAAACATTTTATCTTATTGTTGTAAATTAGCAAAGAGCGCCCAGAATTGTGTCTTTGGACCTTTTTCTGGCCTTTTGTGTCCTTTCACGTTCCTCTAGTATACACACACCTGCCCAGCATCCTTGTACTTATTCTGGACCACAGCACAAGTTTCTTGTTTTAAGGAGTTTTATACTATTTTGTCTTATTAATGAAGCTATATAATAAATGTGGTACTTGCACAAAATATAGAAATATGCCAATTATTCTTAGAGTCTTAATCTAACTCCTTCTTCAAAGCCTATGCTAGTAGAATTATAAAACCCATGTGGAACAGCAGTATAGTGCCTTGGCTTTGAACTAAATATTTTAGCATATCTTAGAATGCTGTTTTCCAGTCCTGTTGTAAATTGCTGAATGCAAATTTTTTGTATGATAGAACTCGATGAAGGCTGTTCCAAAGTCAATACTAAGAAAAGCAAGAGAAAAGGTGCAGATGATTTTGACTTTGCTGGCTCATTTCAAGGTAAGAAAATACATTTAAACTCTGAAAACTAAGCAGTGTCTGTCAGATTCATGCATTTCCTGGTTCTTATCTCAGTATGGAAGAATGGTTACTGAGACTGAGTGAGGGAACAAATGAGCAGGCCAAACAGATGCAAGCAAGCCAAGCAGCAAGATTTATTAATCACAGCACGTTCCAGAGAGAGAACGAGTCTATCTCCGGGAGTGGAGACAACCCAAGTTTCTAATACACATGTTTTTATGTGATAAATTAACTGCCCCTCCTTTCTTTAGGTAGAGTTTCCATTTGCCACCCTTGGGTGATTGACAGGTTTCCTTACATAACTCACTTAGTCTGTACACATGCATCTTCCCAGAATCCTTCATGAAAGCCCATGGTGGGGGGTCAAAACCACAATGCTAATTAGATGGTAATGAACCCCAGGCCACTTGAGGACAGTTAAAACCCCCTAATGGGCATGCTACAGTTTATCCCATTTGTGGCCTTGACCATATCTCTAGTTTGTGGTTTCTCTACCTCTTTTTGGATGGTCAATTCTTCCATCCTCTTCTCTTAGACGAAAACATCTGTTCCTCTCCCTTCCTCCTTATCCCTACCTAACAGTGTCCACATTAAAGGTATTATTCATTATCATTTTGGGAAATGAACCTTCCTAAATTGCTTAATGTACTTCCAAATTATATTGGAAAATAATTTGTTTTTCAATTATGTGGATTATTTTCCACATATATCTTCAATTATTTTCTCTGCCTCTCACATTTAAATATCTCTAGATCATCTTTTCAATCATTTTTAAACCATTCAGTTATATGTAAGCCCTGAATTTTCCAGACACCTGTTGCCTTTTTCCTTTTCTCAACCATTACTCTTCGCCATTTGACCCTTGTAAAATCCATGCTTCTTTATTAACTTCATTTTCCCTTTTTATAAGGTCTACCATTTTACTGCCATGACAAAACAATTTTAATCTCAATTTATCTTACATAAAAGATATGAATTCTTAAGTGTATCTTGTAAGATTATGCTTTACAGTGTAACACTTGTACTAACAAAAGAAAAAAGTGCTATATCAGGTGACAGTTTGAAGATTTTGATAAAAATGTAGAAAGCATTATGCTTTCCTTCTTTCTAATGCCTCTGTGGCTTCTGCTTACTGATAAATATGAATAAAAATAGATTTATAACATTAAATAATAAAAATACTAAATTTTTTAAAGATTCATTTATGTATTGATAGTAATCTCTCAGACACTTAAGCCTATAAAATTTTTATCAGCTTTCAAATACTGCTATCAATATCATAGTCTACTATTGGTTAGATGACTTAACTGATGCATATTTAAATTATAAAATGGTTATCTTCTAGATTTTGTCTGCCCTTGAGTGATGTAGGATCACATTTTAATATTAGCAAATAAGGCAAAGTTTTTCTCAAGATCATCCCTCAGAAAAGTGTTGTTTTACCTCAAGTCCTACTGAGCCTGTTATTAAAAGGTGTTCTCTCAGTGACCTTGTTTTTATTAATCAAGTACTATTTCAGAAGACATTAGCCTGAAAGGATTTCAAATCTCTATCAAGGCTGGGCATGGTGGCACACACCGCTAAACCTAGCACTTTGGGAAGCTGAAGTGGGAGGATGGCTTGAGGCCAGGAATTTGAGACCAGCCTGGGCAATATGGCAAGACCCCATATCTACAAAAATAAAAATTAGCTGGGTATGGTGGCATCTCCCTATCCTAGCTACTTGGCACACAGAGGCAAAAGGAGTTCAGGAGTTCAAGTTTGCATTGAGCTATGATCATGCCACTGCACTCCAACCTGAGTGACAGAGTGAGCCTTTGTCTCAAAAAAAAAAAAAGAAAAGAAAGGAAAATCTATATCAATAGTAGTTTTGGATGCAGATTAAAGGATGCCCGACAGAACTGACTGAAACAAAAAGAGGCAAAGGAGTTTTAAACAGATTATTAATTGATCCTGGGGGTATCACCCTACATTTGCAGGTGTTAGATATCCTTAAGAGCAAACAAAGCTTAAGGAAACTTTAAGAAAGCAGTACGGAAGTGCATACTCATTGAGGATACAGATATATACCTACGGAATGAGTGAAAACCAAAAAAAATCTTCCTAATGCATGCATGGGTATTTACACAGTTCTTAAATAACACACATTTCACCTTAATAGAAATCAAGTTGAAATGCTCTAGAAACTTGTTATATTAAAAGTGGCCCTGATACAAAGACTTGTACATGTTTGTTCATAATAGCACTATTCGTTAATGCTAAAAAGTGGACACAACCCAAATGTCCATTAACTGATGAATGGATAAACGATGTGTTATAGCCATACAATATCATTCAGCCATAAAGTGGAATGAAGTAGTGATACATGCTACAACATGGGTTTACTTCAAAAACATTATGCTAAGTCAGAGAAGCCAGATATAGGAAACCACATACCATATGATCCCATTTATATGAAATAACCGAAAAAGGCAAATCATAGAAACAAGGTAGATTATAGGTTCATAGAGGGCTGGCGGGGAACAACAAAGGGACACACACCAGGGATCTTTTAGAGTTGATAAGTGTTCTAAAATTAGACGGTGGTCATGATTGAATGATTGTAAATTGATTCATTAAAACGTACTGAATACACTTAACACAACTGAATTTTATGGTGTGTAATTATTCTTTAGTAAAGATGTTATTTAAAAGTGGCTCTAGGCTGGACATGGTGGCTCACACCTGTAATCCCAGCACTTTGGGAGGCTGAGACCCTGTCTCTAAAAAATAAATAAACAAAAATAAAAGTGGCTCCAGTACTGCTAGAGACATTAATGTCAAAGATGCAAAGAATTTGAATAATACTGTTTCAGGAAAAGTGAGAATGAATAAAACAATATTTCTAGGTAGTATGATCTTAAATATGTGAATTTAAATTTAATATTAAAAATAAACAGTTTACTTCTTTGTGTTGAAAAGTTTATATATTTAAAACTATAGGTGAGTTTTAGGAGAACGTCTTTATTTTCACTAGTATAAACTAAACTTCATTTATAACATTATAAACATGCCATCAGTCAATTTCTGTATAATCCAAAAAATAAGACCACTAAATTAAAATTTATATTTTGTCTTAAATATTCCAAAACCCATCCATACCAACTTTGGGATTTTACTCTTGCTTGATACTATGGTATTTCTTTTAAGGGTAAACTTCGATCAGTGGCCAAATCTGAAAAGCAAGGATATTAGCTTTTTTAAAAATATCATATTAACTCTTAAATTATACTTTTCATTAAATGCCACCTACCTAATGGTGCTAGAAAATAACTGCAGTTGTATTTTTACCCAAAGATAACTTCTTAATAAGATCATGTTGGAAGAATTATATTTTTTCAAAATCATTAGATTTACAATTAAATAATCTAGACTTATAATTTTTTTTTAGGATCAAGAAAAAAAAAGAAAAGAAACTTAAATGACTCTAGCCTGTTTGTATCTGCTGAAGAGGTAAGGCTAATGTACTACTTTAAGAAGTTAGCTATTCCACATTACTTTAAGTTTCCTAAGAAATTTATCCTTTTTTTTTTTTTTTTTTTTAAAGTTTGGCCACCTATTGGACGAAAATATGGGATCCAAGTTTGATAACATTGGCATGAATGCCATAGCTAACAAAGATAATGCAAGTAAGTAACCTAAATTTTTTATTGATGTTTTTAAAAATAGGCTTGACTTAAAACTTCAGAAGATATGACTGTTTCTGGAGGACCTTTTTATGGTATCTTATAACCTGGAAAGAATGGCTTTTTCTTCTCCCTTTTGGGAGAGCACGAAGAATTAAAAAGTATTTAGACCACAGCAAAAAAGACTACAGACTATAATAATTACTTTAGCTTTTTTTAGAAAGGCAGGCTATTTTTATGTAGTGTGAGTTTGCTAAATAAATTTATATGCTTTAAAGATGTATTTCTGATCTTGTTATGGTTTTTATTCTTTCACCAGTAAAAGTATTCAGAGGAAAGAAAATCTTTAGAGCATTTGTTCCTTTTCCTTCCTTAGTCATTTATTTATAAGACATTAATTAGTCTTTGACAATAAATATAGAAGAAAAGCAAAAAAAAGCAGTGGATTTGCATAGTGGGTGGGAAAGTGCAGGCCACGGCAGGCCAGAAGTTCCTGTTACTCAGCAGGATGTTCTGTGTGACCGCCAGGAGTCTTCGATGTAGTAGTAGGCTCATCTTTGTTCTCCTCCCAAAGGTCTCAAACAGCTTAAATGGGAGGCTGAACGTGATGACTGGCTACACAACAAAGATGTGAAAAGTATCATCAAGAAAAAGAAAAATTTCAAGAAGAAGAGGCTGAAAACCATTCATAAAACTAAAAAGCAAAGGAAATGAGTTATTAATGTAAATTATAAATTAAAATTCTACTTCTAATTTTTGCTGTTCAACCATTTTTCTTGATCTCGCACTCTGATTCCATACATTCCAGACTGTTCGATGGATCTGTAATAAACTATAAATAAAAATAGCTGTCACTTACAAAGTCATGTAAAAATGTTAAACTTGTATTAAGAAAAACTTCTTTTTCAATATTGCTACATAATAAAATAAAAAAGAGGACAATAGGATTACATATTTATGTATAAGCTCTCGCATCTCTACTTATCATTGTAATGAACACTATTTATTGTTACTTTATACCAGACACTATGCTAAGTAAGTACATAAGGTTATCTTGTTCAGCCCTTGTAATAGTCCCATGGAGTAGGCATTATCTCTACTTGAGAAAGAAATAGCTCTGAGAAATTAGCAAACCTGAGATAAAAAGCATCTTTTAAACCCATTCTATCACCACCTCAGATATGTCTCACTCCAAAGTCTATGTTTTTAACCACTGGAAGAATTAAGAATCTAGCCCATTAGCTATCTCTCCTTTCATCTAGGTATAATTCTAGGTAACTCTAGATGAGAATTTTCTCAGAAGAAACTAAAATAGATGTGAATAGTATTGTTGGAAATTGACACATTTAAAATAAAGTCATTTAGTCCTTAATTCATTGTAAGGACACTACTAAATTTAAAGGTTATGTGAAAAAGGTGGTTTATACTCACTTTTACTTAAGGAAAAACATACCTTCCAAGATGAAGGGAAATTTCTTGCTCATTGTTTGCCTGAAATCTGATTTAAAAAAAGGAAGTCTTGAAATTAGACATGATCAAAATTCATTACATTAACACATAGAGCCACAATTTAATACTACCTTTAGGGTTCATATGATGAGAATCATACACATTAGAAATTTATTTTAAGGTCCTTCTGGTGATCCAGGAACTATATCCTTTTGGATAGGATCTAAGTTACCTTAACATGTAGCTGCCTTATAGTTTATTTTAGAGTTTTTAAAATTTGGCCTGTATATATGATGTAATTTATTTTTAAATGGTATTTAAAAGCAAATTTTCAGTGTCAATGATTAATTCTGTTATGCAACTTTATGAATTGTTTTTATGGATACTATTTTACCCTGATAAGGAATTAGAAATAAGATCATACCCAGTTTTTGAAACTGATCTCAAACTTTAATTTGCTTTTAAATACTGTTGGGATGCTTTCTTTATACCCTTAGAGTCTAAAAATATAGAGGTTTTTCTGTTTGGGGTTTTTTTTTTTTTTTTTTTACCCCAAAGTACTAGGATTACAGGCCTGAGCCACCACCCCCAGCCAAAGTACAAAGATTTTGTGAATATCCCGTAGCATCCTGGTACAGTGTTCCAGTTAAGTATTTTGAGGAAGTGACAAGTTTCAAAGATGGCCACCACCCCATGATTACTCCCTGCTTTTGGGAAAAAGCACTTCCTAATTTAAAAAGTTGATTGTGGCTAGGCACAGTGGCTCACGCCTCTAATCCTAGCCCTCTAGGAGGCCGAAGCAAGAGGATCCCTTGAGGTCAGGAGTTTGAGAGGAGCCTGAGCAACAGCCATCTCTACAAAAAGAAAAATTAGCCAGGCATGGTAGTGCGTGCCTGTCGTCCCAGCTATGTGGGAGGCTGAGGCAAGAGGATCGCTTGAGCACAAGAGTTTGAGGTTGTAGTGAGCTATGATGATGCCACTGCACTCTAGCTGGGGTCACAGAGTGAGACTCTTGTCTCAAAAAAAAAAAGTTGAGGGCTCTAATATAAAATTTCACCTCCAACAAAATGTCAGAGCACTTTCAGTGATAGCATGGAAAAGTCTTTTTATGTCCACTATTGATACACAGAATACCCTAGCCTGAGAAAACTGGTTACCCAGAGAAAACAGAAATACTACTTCTTAACTTGATTGCTCTACCAATGAAGCATAATGGGCAGGCTAAGTTTCCTCCATCTGTGCTCCCAAACTAAGACAAGGACACTTGCTCTACCTTCCTCACTAGTAAAACCCATGGAGGTGTCAAACATTCCTCCTCATCTACAAGCAACATTTTTTAAGGGAGAAGTGAGAATCATCTAGTCTACTATAATGAATACCTTGATTTCCCTTCTGCCCGTAAAAATGTCTAATACACTGAATCTGGAGAAGCAATTTCTCCCAAAATGCATTATTTGACACCTAAAATAATGCATTTTAGCAAACTCTATACCCCTCTAGAAAGCATTAATTATGCTTCTGAATTTTGATTACCTTGGCTTGTGTTCATCTTAGTAAACAAAAAATATGCTCCAAAAAGGCCCACAAGTTCAGCTACTAAAATTCCTTTAAAGATCTTCTTTGCCAGTGGTTCCATACGGCGAGTCATCCTAAATTTAACAATAATAAAATGTGTAAACATGAATGAGCATACTTAAACTTCTACTACCACTTCTATAAAAATAATTAATTCATTCCCACAGTTTGAATGGTTTATCTGTGTAGGAACAAGATCCCAAAGTTACTGTATACTTTTTGTTTTAGACATGACCTACATACCTAGTTTTCAAACTCCACGCCTGAGGGGCACAATGAGCCAAATACAAGATTGAATAAAGCACAAAAAAAAAAAAAAAAATTCAAGAAGACATTGTAAAAACTAATAATTTATGGAACTAAGATTTTAGAATTTTCTAAGAATATAGGATGGTAAGACAGAGGTTAAATCAGTTTTTTTTACCTGAACTGAGAGTTACATGATCTAATGGGCACAATAGGTAAAAGCTCTTTGTAAAGTATCCTACAAAAGTAAGATTATAAGTAGTTCTAAATTTTTTATAGCTGGAATTCTACATTTATTAATATAACATATTAAACTGTGTGACATTCAGGCATTTTGCTGGATGCTAAGGATACAAAGTTGAGCAATAAACTAATTGGTTCTTGTTCCTGGGGAGTTGCTCTTCTTACAGTCTTAACACTTTAACTGCATCAGCCAAGAAGCTCGTTAAAAATACGCATTCCTGGCTGGCTGTGGTGGCTCATGCCTGTCGTCCTAGCACCTTAAGAGGCTGAGGCAGGAGGACTGCTTGAGACCAGAAGTTCAAGACCAGCCTGAGCACCACAGCAAGACCCTGTCTCTACAAAAAATTTTTAAAAATTAGCCGGGCATGGTGGCGTGCACCTGCAGTCCCAGCTACTTGGGAGGCTGAGGCTGCAGTGAGCTATGATCACACCACTGTACTCCAGTCTGGGGGACAGAGTAAGACCCTGTCTCAAAAAAAAAAAAGAACCTCAGCCTGCAAGTGTCCACTTCCCAATCTCCTCAGCCTCCTGAGTAGCTGTGACTATGGTCACATACCACCTTGCCTAGCTAATTTTTTTCTTTTTTGTAGAGACAGGGTCTGGCTATTTTGCCCAGGCTGGTCTTGAACTCCTGGCCTCAAGCAGTCCTCCCACCTCAGCCTCCCACAATTCTGGGATTATAGGCAAAAACCACCACACCCACCCCAAATAATTTTTATACAAGTGAGGGGGAAAACTGGTTGGGTGATGACCCAGTAAGTGGCCAAGCTACAGACTATTTAGATCTTAATTCTCTTCCTGTAATTAAATTAAAAGCTAATCAAGAAAAAGGATTTGAGCCTTTACTTTTTTTTCTAATTAAACTAAACAAGGAAAAGGGCTACGTAACAAATTAAGAAAATAGAATATTTAACTCTTACCGAATATATGAAATGTAAACCTAAGTTTTTACTCAGCCTCCCTGTAGCCCTGAAGTCAAGAACAGGAGAACCACTAGTTTCTAACTCAGAATGTCAGGCATTTACCCCATTCCCTTCTAACCCCTCTTCACAATGAGAGCAGAGGTAACTAAATACCCTCCTTTTGTAGGATTATCCTGGTAATATCCTTACCAGGTGTCCCTCCTCCCAAATATTCCCTTTTCTCATTTTGATAATGTGATCACCCTGGGGACCAAAAGATTAAAACTTTACTTTTCTTACATAAAAGAAATGAAGCAAAGGAAGTTACAAAAGAACCTATATAGTACCAAGAGACCTGTGGGTAGGTGGGAAGAGAGAATTGTTTTGCTCTGTTCACTAAAATGTACATTACTGACCGAAAATGAGTCATGCTAAATACAGATAGCTCTCTTGGGGTTATTTTTAATGTTCAAGAGGTGAAAAAAACAAAGCCTACCTGCAGCCTATTCCATAATTTAAGGAATCCACATAAAATTTTGTTTTGTTGTGAGGGGGCGATGCTAAGGGTTCAAAAAAATAAAGTCCAAATAACAGTCCATGATAAAGCATTTACCTTTCTTAAAATATATATATATGTGACCGGGCGCAGTGGCTCAAGCCTGTAATCCTAGCACTCTGGGAGGCCGAGGCAGGAGGATCGCTTGAGTTCAGGAGTTGGGAGACCAGCCTGAGCAAGAGCGAGACCCCGTATCTACAAAAAAATAGAAAAATTAGCGGGGTGTGGTGGCACACGCCTGTAGTCCCAGCTACTTGGGAGGCTATGGCAGGAGGATCGCTTGAGCCCAGGAGTTTGAGGTTGCAGTGAGCTGCACTCTAACCAAGGCGACAGAGACTGTCTCAAAAAAATATACATATAGACACACACACACACACATTTATGTTTTACAGGCCAAGGGCCTCAGGAAGACAGGGTTTTGGAGAAGAGTGGAGTTTGGAAATTTAAAATGAAGCAGTCTCTGGCAGGCTCAAAGCAGTCACGGGGATAACGCCACACTGGGCCGAGAAGCTGACTCGGGGAGCACAAGCTCAAGACAAACGTGCAACGCTGTGTCCGCAAGCCCCTTATCCGCCACTGTGCGCCGCGGCTGGAAACCGAGGCTGCTTCTCCGTGCGGAAGGGGCCTTGCACCGCTCAGCAGCTCCAGGAGACACGGTTTCAAACAGCAAGGTCTCCCACAGTCTAGATGGGAACAAGTTTCTCTGCACTACCTCCCTGGGTCTCATTAACAACAGCGGTTTCTTCCAGGTTCCCACGGCCAGGAACCAAGCAAGCAGCAGAGGACGAGGACAGCGGCCTTGCGCTGGCAACCCACGTCCCTCAGCCCCCGCCCCCCCCCGGTTCTCTGGTACCCGCGGCTGCTCCCGGCCACCCCCGGCCCTCGGGCCCCCAGAACTCTTGGGCCGGGCCTGCAGCCGACACCCGCGGGCAGCTCACACCGCACGGCCCCCGCTGCGGAGCCGAGGTCACCGAGCGACCCGGAAACGCTCGCCGCGGAAGAACCGCAGACAATGACACTCGAGTGTCCTCCGCATGAGCCCAGAACTCTGTCGAGAGCTTCCCCAAGAAAAAAAACCCTCACACTCGTAGCACCGGGGAGCCCCCAGACAGCCCTCCGAACGCTTGCCCCAAACCGCTTTCTCACCTGAAGCGCGTCCACGCGGGGACGCGCATGCGCGTGGGTGGACAGCGCCCCGCACCCCCCTCCGCCGACAGCCCCGCCCCTCCCGGCGTCGTAATTACCACTTACTGAGCTCAGACTAGGATCCGGACCTGAGTGCGGCTGCATACGTTATTTTACTTAATGCTCACAATTGCCCTATGTAATAGGTGCTGTGAGGAGCTCGTTTTGCAGAGAGGACAAGAGGCTTACCCTGCCCACGATCACACATCTAATAAGAGACAGAATTCGGATTTGAGCTCAGCACACTGGCTTGACGGAGCCTGTGCTGGATCGTTTTTCCACACTCTGCAACCCTAAGTGTGAGCCCCAGAAGATCGGCAATTTAGGCATCACTTGAAAACTTGCTAGATCTGCAGACCTAGTGAATCAGAATCTGCATTTTAGCAAATCCCTAGACAATTCGCTTGCAGATTAACATTTGAGAAGCAGTGTCTATACTGCCCACTAGGTGAGCGGAGGAAGAGGAGAATGACTCGAAGGGGAGGAGAGGGAGGAGAAAAGGAATATAAAGGTCTATTGCGGTGCCATGTGCACGACAAAGACTAGAATACCCAAAATAGTAAGACACGATCGACCTTCACTGAAGTTCCAGTCTAGTGGGAGGTGGGGGCGGTGAATATACCCACAAATAACTGATGAAAAGTACACAATAAGGGCCTTGCTTCTTATCTGAAGGATCGTTTTAGAGAAGGGGTGATAGTTAGAGCTGACTTTGTCAATGCTAAGAAAAGGAAGTGCCTCTGTGGGGCGCTCAGTGACTGCCCCAATTTTCCTATCCAACCCACCCCCATCGTCCGACCTATATGGCTCATTTGCACAACTAAACTATTATAAATTATGAGAAATGTGAATGCATAAACTATATTCATTTAAAGCATGTCATTGTTAGTCAAGATCACTCAGGTCTGCAGAGCCAGAACCCCAAACAATCTCTTCCACTATACCGATTGGTCTAGTAGCCTCTTAAAGTTTGAGCTTTGTACAGTCTCTTGATCTCTTCTATGTGCTCTATAGAAACTGTCCTTGGCTTGAACATTCCGTTTAATATTATATATTTGACTTTCTCTCAAACTTTTCTCATAAGGTGTCTTCCTGCACCATGTTGCTTTTTATCTTTTCTGTTATTGTTTTTGCTGTCATAACAGCAAGAGTTTTTCTCAAAACTTTTCAGAATTCTAACCCCAGGCATCACCTACACCACGGAGGCTCCCCTTTCCATCCAACTGGGACACTCGGACACCCACCACATTTTGTCGTTGTTGTTGTTGCAGTCAAGTACAGTAGTGAGAAGGGGGGAAGATCAGAACATCCACAATCTTTAAAATTTATTCCCATTCAAAGATTCACCCATAATAAATACTCTTCATATTGAAAGCAACCCCCATGACTTGCATTAAACATTTTGTTAAATATCAGTTGAGACACTATTCTATGCCTCAAGCTTCCAGGCCTGTCCTAGTCCGCTCAGGCTGCTATAACAAAATACCATAAACTGGTGGCTTACAATCGACAGAAATTTATTTCTCACAGCTCTGGAAGAGAGGAAGTCCAAAATCAGGGCACAAGCAGATTTGGTGTCTGGTTTGGGCCAACTTTCAGGTTTCTGAGATGGTGTCTTCTCACTGTGTCCTCACATAGTGGAAGGGGCAGGGGTCTCTCTGGGGTCTGTTTTATAGGGGCACTAATCCCATGCATGAAGACTCTCACTCATGACCTAATCACCTCGCATAGGCCCCACCTCCTAATACCATCGCCTCAGGGATTCAATACATGAATTTGGGGAGGACACAAACATTCAGACTATAGCAAGTCTCTACTTACATTAGTTTGAAATACCAGAACATCAGTGTTAAAATTACCAGGATGACAAAACAAGATGAAAAGGTCATTGGAATGGCCCAGACTTAAAAAAGAAAAGAAAAAAAAAAACTTTAAAAATATTGATAACGAAGACTGAAATAATTGTCTAGAAATGTGATCATTTCTTCTGGAGAGTCTACATAAACTAACTAAGGGTAGGTGGTTAACTGGAAAGGGAATTTCCCAGTATTGCACAAAACTTGACATCTTCATATATGTTGATATGTCCTACATATCTTGGGCCCCACTATAGATTTCACAAACACATTTTGAGGCGAGGCACATTTGGCCACAGGTTTGGGGCAGGAAAAGTGTGGACTCCAGTGGAAACTCTTACCAAGGGTCCTTCGGGGGCAGTGCATTCCTGGTCCCAGTCTTCTGTAGTGGCCATAGGTACAAAGGCTCTCCACATTAACAAATATGTAAAAGTCTGCTGTCCATTCTTCCATGTTCACCTCAAAGAAAGAGCAGCTAGTGAACCTGGCAGGGATCTTCGAGCTAAAGCTCTTTCACTTACCTGACATGAGTAAGTGGAGATTAGTCTCTGGCCGGCCACTGCTGCTAGATGCTAACGGGCATCTTACTGGATGAGAGGGGCCAAGATCCTGGGGATGGCTGAGCCTTCCCTGCAGAAGACCACAGGACACAGGGCAGTGTAGAGTCATGGGCTCTGTCCCTGAAGCAGGGACAGTGTGGGGACGGTGGGACCCCTGATGTCCCAGCTGCCACGCACTGTAACCGGCATTGCAATGAAGTGGTCCTCCATGATCCTCAGTTTAAGAGGCGATGGGGTTCAGGACACATTACCCCAAAATATGGCACGTTGGCATTTGAGAAAACAGCAGAAAGAGAAAGGTCATTCTTACCTTCTCCCCCCAGCCTGCCCTTCTCCCCTGAAGCAGGTCGCAAAACCTGGGAAGGATTTTCTGACCTTCCTCTACAGCAGGTCATAAGATGCTCATTCGAGAGATGCCTTTCCTGTACCTGGAGGAAAGGACCATTCTTATCTCTGAGGACACAGGGTCACAGAGAAGAATCTGAACAAAAGGCCTTGCTAAATTCTCCTCCACAGATTCCAAGGTAAATTTTAATCCTGAGCTACACTGGGAAGTCACACATCTCTTGCTAAGGAAAAGAAAAGGCACAGCGTCACCCCGAGGGGCCCTGCTACACAGGAAGGAAAATAGCACAGGAGGAGTGACTTACCTGCTCTCAAAACCATCCTGGGGCCAGACGGCTCACAGGAGCCCTGTGCTACTTGACCCCTGCTTTACTGATCCAGCTTGATTTCAATCACCCTAGACATTTTTTTCCTTAATGTTTTCTCTCTCTCTCTTTTTTCTTTTTATGGTATAAGTTCCTAGCCTAGAAAAATCAAAGAAAATAAGGTAAGAGTGAATGATTTCTTTAATGTCAAGGAAAGGAACTTTGAATAGGCCTCCCTTGCAGCTGCCTCCAGGGCATGAGCCAGGCCAGAGCTGGCGAAGTCTAAGAGTGCTGCAGCCATTGATCCCCAGCGTGGGTAAGGTGCAGGAGCTGAACGGGAAGCTGGGGCTTCACCTGCTGTGACCCACCTGCATTCACAGGCACGATGTGCAAATGTACCATACCATAGAGGTTATTTCGTAATTACTCATGCTGTTTCCCTCCCTCATGCACGCCAGACAATTAATAGTTGGCATACGAGTTGAGTATGTCAAGCTGTAAAGTTAAGAGGTTAACCTAAGCCTTGGGAGACTAAGAAGAGACACAGCTCACATTACCAACCCCAAAGAGCCTTCCAAATCCTGGAATTACAGACATTAGTGTCAGAACAGGACCCAGCCCATTGTCTTTTTAAATGTTTTACTCCCAAGAAGCTAGTAAACAACAACCATGTTTGGATTAATGTTGTAAATTCCGCCTCACCCAAGGGAAACAGAGACTGTTTACAATGTGAGGGATAATCCCACTAAACCAATTGGCAGGGAATCCAGTCCTACTCTTCTCTTTTTGGGAGGGAGATTCTTAAATACACCTTCCCAACTATAGTGAGTGTCATTCCCTCATTATGTAAGGTAATAAGGCCTTCAAATGGAAATATAGAAATATTAAGATACTCAGATATTCTGACTTTACCTTTCACAAACTGTTTTTTTTAAATAAATATTCAAAAATGTAATCAATCCCAGATACCTCTTCCTAGCTCAGAACCCTCTCTGGTCAGTTTTTTTCCCCTCTGTAAAGTAGAAATAAAAAGCTACTCTTGGCCAGATGTGGTGGCTCACACTTGTAATACCAGCTCACTGGGAGGCCAAGGCAGGGAGGATCACTTGAGGCCAGGAGTTTGAGACCAGCCTGGGCAACATGCAAGACCCCCATCTCTACAAAAATTTTAAAAATTAGCGGGGTGTAGTGGCACATGCCTGTAGTCCCAGCTACTTGGGAGGCTGAGGCAGGAGGATTGCTCAAGCCCAGGAGTTCACAGTTGTGGTGAACTATGATGACACCACTGCACTCCAGCCTGGTGGCAGAGTGAGACTCTGTCTAAAAAAAAGAAGAAGGAAAAAAAAAGCTAGTCTTTCACATCCACCACCTGCCTCAGTAAGATACTTTCTGTTGACATAAAATTTCCTCATATGTTTACATTTCTGAAACTGAAATCCATCTTATAATCAAGGTATACATTGAATGCAGTGTTTGTCCCAAAATGCTGTTATTAAATAAAATGTCTAGAAACCAGGAAATTTATTTCCCTCATAGTCATAAAAATCTCTCTCCTTAAAAGGTAAGATTTTTTTTTCCCAGTGAAAAGTCCCATGGCCTTGTTTCTTGTAGCAAATAAAGAAGCAGCAAAGAACACAAAATCCATGGACCTCTGAAATCTAACTCTGGTTTTTGGCGTGGACTGAATTGTAACGCCTGCCTTCCAATCCCAGCTCTTCCATGGGCCGACTCTGCAACCTCATGAGGTCAGTTAGCCCCTGTGAGCCTCAATTACCATAACTGTAAAATGATCACAAAGTAATACTCATGTCATAGGGCTTCTATGAAGTTATATTCAATCATCTCTGTAATCTTAGCGGTTTGGCAGGGGATGTGGTACGTGCTAGTGTTCCATAATGTTAGCTATTATTTTAACTGATATATAAATGACTATACAGCTAGGTAACTATGCATGACTAGGGGTTAACTTCTCAACTGGTTAGCATTGGTTTAGAGAAAGGTAAACAAAGTAAAAAAAAAAAAACTATGTTCTTAGGGTTAGAGAGAAAAATGGAAGCAGGACAAGGAGAATGATGTGGAGAAGAGAATGGAAGAGAAAATAAGAAGAAATGTACAGTATATTTTATGGAAATTTGACTTAACAAGAGGCCAAAGAGTAACTTTTAACCCAGAAAGTGTTCTAAATAAGATATAGGTTGAACTGCTGTAATAAAGGGACTCTTAACAATTTAGTGGTTCAAACAAGACAAACAACCGTGCTCTCTCACATACGGTTCAAAAGGAGGGTTGGTATACAGTGTGGGTCGTGGGGAGGTGACTGTGTTTCCTGAGGTTGTCCGGTGAGCCAGGTTTCCTCTGTCTTCTTGCTCTACCATCCCCTGGAGTGCTATTTTCCTCTGAACTAGTAATCTGGGTCGCCAGCACCATGTCTGCCGTCCAGGTGTAGGAAAGGAGATATTGAAGAGTGGAGAGCTGTCAACTCCCTGTGTTAAGGATGTGACGGAGTGGTTGCACATATCACTTCTGCTGACTTCCCACTAACCATAGGGCCAAGACCAAACTGCAAGGGAGGTGGGAATTATAGGCCAACTCACCCAAAGGAAAAAGGTAAAGTGGCTCCTTGGGAAAGACTCTACCCCAGGCAGTGGGCATCTCATTCTAGAGAGTTTGACCAGCAGGGAACTGAGCTCAGAGGACTGGAGACACGATTGCATTGTATGTTCCTCTTTGCAAAGTCATTCCCTTCCATGAACCACACAACTGTGTTGCTTAATAGGTAAAGAAGAGGAGCTAACGCTATCTCCATTTTACGTAAACTTTTGGAGGTACATTGTTATCAGCTCAGACTAACACAACTAGTAAACTAAGATTCAAACTCAAATCTTTTGACTTTTAAATCTATTGGGCCAGTAAATGACAGATCTGAGCCTGGTGCCCAGGTTTGTCCCCAAATCTGCAGTCTTTTCCACCCCACCAAACTACTTCACAATCCCATGGCTTCCTTGTCACACCATGTAGGATACGTGTGCAAAACTATCAGCCAAGGAGAGAAGTGAGGTTTCATTCTATGAATTGCTGATAAGAAAATTGTATGCCTGATTCAACTAAATATCTCTTTGTTAGATATTTAATATCTATTTTCTTCTGTTAGGAGATTCCATTCTCCGCTCATTGGGTGGGTTGTCTAAATAGTAATGTAATCAACCCTTGGGGTAAGATTCCCTGATCCTCAGCCGGTTTTGCACCTGTGGTTTACCTTTTGTCAGAGGAGGATATGCAAAAGAGGGGGAGAGGTGGATGGGAATTAAATGATTCCTTTTTCATGTGAATGGGAGGAGCCGTTTATTCCACCCCCTGAAAAACTCCCTTAAAAGCAATCGCTGCCTCTGGACAACCATGAAGCAGGTTCATTAGCAGGGAGCCACCATGGCTGATAAGTCCAAATTTATTGAGTTCATTGATGAAGCTTTAGAAAAATCAAAAGAAACTGCACTCTCTCGCTTATTTTTCACCTATCAGGGGATTCCTTACCCAGTCACCATGTGCACCTCCGAAACTTTCCAAGCCCTGGACGCCTTTGAAGCCAGACACGATGACATTGTGCTCGCATCTTATCCGAAGTGTGGTAAATAAGAAATCATTTCCCACAAGTGCCTTTCTCGTGGTGGGTAGGTTGGGGAGGGGCGTGAGACAGAGGTGGGGTGAAGGCAGTTCATCTCTGCCGGAAGCTGGCTGGACAGCAGTGAGGAGGGTGGCCACCACGATTAGACACCTAGGTTGTAAAATCAATAACCAGAACTGCTGAATTTTAAAACCCCAGTGTCTGAGGGAAGAGGTCTCTGTGAAAGGCCAGGATGGAGGATGGAATGGTGGAAGGGGACAGATGGTGGGGCTGGAAGGGAGAAATACGTACGCGGGACAGTCCCATTGGCATTGAGCATTGACTGTAGCAGAGATTTTCATCTTAATTTTTTTTTTTTTTTTTTGGAGACAGAGTCTCACTGTGTTGCCCAGGCTAGGGTGCTGTGGCGTCAGCCTAGCTCACAGCAACCTCAAACTCCTGGGCTCGAGCGATCCTCCTGCCTCAGCCTCCTGAGCAGCTGGAACTATAGGCATGCACCACCATGCCCGGCTAATTTTTTCTATTTATTTTTAGTTGTCCGATTAATTTCTTTCTAATTTTAGTAGAGACGGGGTCTCGCTCTTGCTCAGGCTGGTTTCGAACTCCTGAGCTCAAACAATCCGCCCGCCTCGGCCTCCCAGAGTGCTAGGATTACAGGCATGAGCCACTGCGCCCAGCCTCATCTTAATTTTTGATTGAAGTCAAAAGCATGGCTGCTCTTATAATTTATATGATGATTTCCATGTAATAGATTATTTTTCAGGCTCAAACATCAATCCTCCAGTTTCTCAAATCATTTTTACAAAGATCTTTCATCAAGACATAAAGAATCTAAATCGTCTTACTTTATGTCACCCTCTTTTGATTCTTTCCACTATTGTTTATTAAAGCCGACCTCATTTAATATTTTTCTTTTTAACTGTTGCTGAGTTTTTATAAAATCAAAATTGTGCACTCCTCTAGAAAATACTTATTAATTTGAGGTAACATAATATATGATATAATAAATAACCATTTCTATAGTATAACATTGTTCTGTAAGGAACATATTCTAGATTCAAAAAGAAGCATGGTCTCTTGTTAAAGAAGATATCTGACAAACAAGTTGAATTTTATACTCACATAAGTAAATGCTGTTTTCCACCAAATTTTCTTTCCATAGCCCAGGTTATTTCAAACACAGAAAACAAAATATACGCATCAGGGAATGGTTCTAGATTTTAATTTTTACCATGTATATGCTAAAGTAACATCTCTGTTATATCGAGACTTCTTAACGAGCTTTTATTCTTTGATTTTTCTTATAGGTTCAAATTGGATTCTCCACATCGTCCGTGAATTAATATTTGCTGTTTCTAAAAAAAAGTATGAATATCCGGAATTCCCAGTTCTTGAATGTGGGGACTCAGGAAAATATCAGGTTAGTACCAACAGCCTTTAACCTTACAGCAATTTATTATGTGTTTACCATATCCTCAGCACTTTGCAGGTATTCTTTTATGGCAAAATGACTTTATCACCATTTTATAAAAGATAGAACTGTTGAGATTTGCCCAACGTCAAGGGGTGAATAAATGATAGAGCTAAGATTCGAACCCAAGCTTTTTTATTTGAGCTCTTAGTGAGTACGCTGTATAGCCAGACTTTTTTTTTTCTTTTAAAGTGGAGGGAAAGGTAAGTTGAGAAGCCTCAGGAAATGAACTGAAACCAAAAAAGCCTGAAGTCTCTGAAGACACGGACATGGGCAGGACGCTAGGAGGAATCTCCAGTCTTTTTCTAGTAAGACATTACTTTTGATTTCCCTGTCTCAATTACGACTCTGGGGTGTGTGTGAGGGATGGGAAAGGATCAAGTAGCAGCTAAGAGAGTAACAGGTCACCCTACCTGTCATTACTCACCTTCCCACATGCTATTACTCACCTTCCCAAAGTAACTAACCGCGGCTTGAGTGTGAGACAGGATGCTCTGCTCCCTGCCCAGGGAAGGCAAGACAGGAGTGGGAGAAGGATCTGCCTCGGGACTTCGGTGCCTGCACAAAACAGGGGCAAGGAGGACCCTCCTCCCCAGCCCTCAATACCGCAGAATGCAGTTGGGAAGGGAAGGCTGTATTCAGGGGGAACCACAGTTTCAGTAAAACTCTCAGAAGTGGCTGACACTAAGACTCTCAGTGGGCGGACAGAACCCAGTTACTAAGAATAAAGCTACTGAACTGGGACTTACGGAACAGCTTCTGGGAAGTGCCTGAGACCCTTAGCATGATGACAAATACAAACTTGGAAACCAGGTGGAAGGAAACCCATTTCTATGGATTCAGCCAAAGTAGCAGAAACATACATTGTAAATGAGGTAGGTGTTCAGGGACTTGTGGGGTGAGGGGTGGGGAGGTAAGTGCCGAATCCTGGATATGGGTGGCAGCAAAGGAACCCCAGGAGGCATCAGACAGCCTAGCAGCTGCATCAGGGCCTCCGGTCTCAAACCTGGGAGAGTTACCTGTATGAAAGCACACCTGATGGAGGCTCAGTCAGGACAGGCCCGGGAATGCAGGCATCATAGGTGGACAGGGGCTTTCAGAAGCATTTTCCTAGGTAGAAATGAAGGAACTAATGAAAAGCCCCATTGACTTCTCCTATCCGGGCCTTTGAATATCGTTCCCTAATCCTTAACATTACCTATAGAAATGATGCCAGCTTTTCTGCACTTTTAGAAATTTGTCCAGCTTTCCAGCTTCTCTTTCAAGAACTTGTTACATTGTGGGTCACAGGTCCCAATATAATAAGTTTTTATACAGGTCATCTTACCAATATAATCTTTCTTATTGAATTTGCCTGTGTTGTTCCTCGTCACCTGACATAGACAAGTGTCCCTTATGATTGAAATAGGGTTTGGTATATTAACTTGTAAGTTTTTACCTTATTTATAGGATTTTTTTTTCTTTTTGAGACAGGGTCTCGCTCTATTGCTGGGGCTGGAGTGCAGTGCCTCATCACAGCTCACAGCAACCTCAAACTTAGGGGCTCAAAGGATCCTCCTGTCTCAGCCTCCCAAGTAGCTGGGACTACAGGCATGAGCCACCACACGCAGCCAAAGATAACTTGTTTATGCGATGTCCTTTTTATTTTTAAATGGAAATCAGTGTGATGAGCTCTACTTAACAGTTACTCACCTAACAAAAAACTTTTCCAAGATACATATTTTTCCTTAAGCAAGATGTATCTATATCTAGTCTTTACATTGCTTACAGTTTGGCTATGTTACACATTTTCATGAACATAGTATATTTATCATATTTTGTTACAGTTAGCTTCCATTTTCCCTTTGGATATTTTTCTAATCCTTTTACTGATTTCATCATTTCTCATGTGTCTGTATGTGGTTTTTGGCCACGCAGTTTAATAGAAACAGCACTCTATTACTTAATCTGAAAATTACCACCTGTGCAGTTTTGCACAAAGCACTTAATACCTCAAAGCCTGTTCTTAATCTTTAAAATGGGGGTTACAGTATCTACATGAGAGGATTGCTGTGAATGAATGTAAAAGTACTTTAAATGCTAAAAAAGTACAATTTGATGTATATCAGATATTATCACTACTAGTCACCACTTGGGCCCATATCATTGTTTTAAATTATTTTTTATTTTTAAAATCTCATGTTTTGCCCCCTTCCTTGAGTTGGGATCCCCACCAAGTTTTTACAGAGCAATTGGCTCTACATGTCTGAACATCATTATATCACTTGCAAGAGTAGGTATACTGTAGCTGTGACCAAGCAGTGAGTGACCTCTAAAAATGTGGAACTGAAGACCTGAAGTCATTAAGATCTGAGTTTTAAGTTAAAATCCTTAACCCTGGCAAATTGAATAGATAACTTCATTTTCAAAATTATTGGTAGAAATTGGCCGGGCGCGGTGGCTTACGCCTGTAATCCTAGTACTCTGGGAGGCCGAGGCAGGTGGATCGCTCAAGGTCAGGAGTTCGAGACCAGTCTGAGCAAGAGCGAGACCCCGTCTCTACCAAAAAATAGAAAGAAATGATCTGGACAACTAAAAATATATATATAGAAAAAATTAGCCGGGCATGGTGGCGCATGCCTGTAGTCCCAGCTAGCTGGGAGGCTGAGGCAGAAGGATCGCTTAAGCCCAGGAGTCTGAGGTTGCTGTGAGCTAGGCTGATGCCACGGCACTCTAGCCCAGACAAGAGAGCGAGACTCTGTCTCAAAAAAAAAAAAAAAAAAAAAAAAAATTATTGGTAGAAATAGATTACAGAAAAAGAATCAGTCAGTTCTCATACTGGCAAGAATTTCTCTCGTGAAATATTTCTCAGACATTTAAGAGACTCTATGGACTTCCAGGTTCTGTTGGGATATTTGATTGTATGGAGTTTTAGTTCATTAAACAAAAAAAGATCTAGATTTTAAAAATGGATTTGCAGGAATTGAGACTTGACTATTTCTGTTAAAGACCCTGAATATAGAAGAGACCCAAATTAAGAGGGGATTGCAGATTATGTGCTGTCTTGAACAAAATGGACTTGATACGATTGTCAGTAAAGGTAAATTTTTTTAACAACAAAAAAGAATGGCAAATGCTAAGCAGGATGCAACAAGGAAGTTCAAGAAGAAGATTTTAATTATTTGTTTATTTATGATTCTTCATTCCTCATCCCCACAAAGAAAATAGAAATAAAGAAAAATTAGAGGAGAAGACATAGTGATAGTGCTTGAAACTACCATTTAGATACCAAACTTAAGAGTGATTCACTACACACACACACACACACACACACACACACACGCTTTCACCTTTTTTGTGTATATTTTTAAGAGAATGAAACAGTTTCCGTCGCCAAGGATTTTGGCAACTCACCTGCATTATGACAAGTTACCTGAGTCCATCTTCAAGAATAAAGCCAAGGTGAGTGTCCTTTCCTATTGGTATTTCAATTTGAAATTTTTCTGTGTAGATATTGGCCCTTTGAGGTATATGATGAGTTTGCTCCTCATCATAGGATTTTACTAAATGAAGTATGAGATTTAGTATTTCTTTTTTTGTTGTTTCTTCAGATGTATGTGCTATCGTTGCATTCAAGTCAAATGCATTTTAGGATGTAAAACACAGTCTTAGAATAAAACATATACTTTATACATATATAAAACATACATTATAATGTTTTATAGGGCATAAATTTCAAAGTCCCACTGGAATATTTACAGTTTTTAACAAAAGAATACAACCTAGTAAAATGAGCAAAAATGGTTCCTTTGGTTATTTCTGGTGAGCACTATTTACTTGAGGTCTAAAACTACTTTATTCCTGGATTTCACATATAATGATAAACGTCATGTCATGCATACACAACTATAGGCACTCTGGCTACTTTCACCATTTGTTTAAAAACCTTGTTTCATGAACCGGTATTGATATATTTCTTGTAATCACTAGATTTTACCCAACCCCTTTTGTTTCCTGTCACCCGGTCTCCCTTCCATTTATTTCTTGGTGACTTTTTTTTTTTTTTTTTGGTCACAGAAGGGAAGGATTAGAATTAATTAAAATCAAGATTTAAACTCTTGAATGCTACAAAGAGGAATGGGAGAATAGTGAAGTAATAGCAAAGAAAGGCAAAGGAGGCAAGCAGTTAAGATAACTATACTGGCCAAAGGTAGGCGGGGAAAGGAAGGAGGAGGAAGAGTGGGAAGGAAAACGTTAAGGAAGTGGAGACTTACAACCAGCAGCCCTGTGGCCAGGTACCCAAATCCCAGGAGCTTAGAACTGGAAAATGCCTCAAAGGTTGTCTGCGCTAATTCCCACTGGGTGTTTTAATTCCACTCAGTGGCTGTCTGGACCATGATAGACGGGAACTCCTCTATCTGCTGAGCCAGGTTTGAACAGCTCTATTAAATAGTTTTTCCTTATTCTGACAATCTACAAAATCAGAAATACCACCTTAACACATAATTTCCCCTGTTTAATGCAGTTAACATGATCACAAATCCAGGTGACTCCTTTTTTTGCACCTTTAATGATTCTATAAGAAACAGAGCTGAAGTAATTTATAAAGCATTTGCATTTGGGGGCATGCAGGCTTTTGAACAGAGTTTCACTTTCACAAGAATAAAGGGCAAGAAAAGAGCAACAGAGAGGTAAGAGTTGCTGCTGATTTGTCCACACTCCAGCCAACTGGCCCTCACAATTTAAATTTATGTCTTTGTGAAATTGTAAACTGCTATGATAGCCAAAGAGACTAGTAAGTGGTAGTTAAAGGCTGAAATAGAAAACCCTTGGATGACAAGAATCTATCATATTTGGATTGAGGGCAGGGGTGAATTTTAGATCTAAGCGTAAGACAGATCTAAGCATAAGAGCCCATTTGTCTCTATTTAATTTTAACCTGTTAGCCTTAGTTCGTTTCTTTAGATAAACAAGGTATTTTGAGATCCAGATTCCCTCCCAGTTCCATGTCATCTACAAATTTGATAAATGCAGCTTCCATGTCTTCACCTAAATCAATCGTTAACATGTTAACTGTGGCCCAGCCAGGACAGTGGAAAGGCTTATTAAAAACCTCCAGGCGGGTTTTTAATTGATTATTTAGCCTCCTTTGCATACGATTACCCAGTTTTATATGTCTAATTGCTCCTACTTCCGGCTTCCATTCTTCCATTTTGTTGCAGAAGAAATCATAAGCTACTCCATCTACTAATCTAAAAACCATGTCCCAAGAATCCAGGTATTAGCAGCAACTTGCTTTTAGAGGACCCATGTTGCCCCCTGCTGGTTACCACTTCCTGGCTTCCTCTTTTATGTGGCCCTAAATCTTGTTGTTTGCCAGTTCTAGAAACTTCTCCCAAATGGAGGTCAGAATCTGTACTTTGCAAAATCCACATCTTTCCCTTTTCTGAAAATGAAATGACTTCTGCCTGTCTCTAGTTGTCTGACCTCTTGTGCATTAGCTCAGGTTCCTCAGACTTCTGGAACATGCTCAATAATTGTCCTCCAATTCCTCAATTCTTGAAATGGAAAGCATCCAGCCAGAACACACGAAGTCACTTGGAGCAGCCATGCGCTGTCCTGGAGTCTTTTGGTTCTTTTGGGTTTCAGTTTGCTCTTTACGATGTTGAATTCACACTTTTCATCCAAAGAAACGCTTTCTTCATCAGAGAAAACACACATAACATAGGAATTCTGAGGTTCCATATGCATCATATCTCAGGCCCCAGAGAGTGGGCCTTGCCATTCTTTGATCTTCTCCCACCAATTCTAAACATTATTTTTGTTGTTCTTAACATTATTTTGCAATTTTTATTTTATTTGGGGGTTTAAGCTGTCAGAGCATACTCTTGTGACTTTTAGTGAGCTTACTTTTTTCTTTTATACATCTTCTATTCATGCCTTTTAATTGTCTAAATTCATTAGGGAAAGTCCTCAGCTGCAACATTAATCTTTTCTTCCTCCCCTCTCCCCAGACTTCCCCATTAGCCACTTCCTGTTCCTCAATTTCTTACTGTCATTCTTTCTTTATATATTAACACGATTTTGTAATATACAAGTAGACACAATGATATTGTTCACTTTTGAACCTTTTCCAAAGTTCAAAACATAGACCTAAATAAATTAACTTATTTTTCGCTCCCTAGATATTGGTGATATTTCGAAACCCTAAAGATACGGCAGTGTCTTTTTTCCATTTCCACAACAATGTCCCTGATATTCCAAGCTACGGCTCTTGGGATGAATTCTTCAGACAGTTCATGAAAGGACAAGGTATGGCTGTTGGTAAAAGAATTCTTGTTACTTCAACACTTGACCACATAAATATGAAAATCCAAATTGTTTTAAGGTAAAGAAAGAAGTAAGATTTAGGCAGGCCTAGGGACCAAAAAGTTACATTTAAGTGAAGTTTTATAGCATCACTAGTTCTGTGCATCAAGCGATTAAAACGCATAACGGTTTTTAAGAATAATTTGGACAATTCATATGCTGACTATGAGTATTGAGTGGCCATAGAATAGACATGGGACAAAGGGACCTTTAACAAAGAGTCATGTAGAAAAGCATTTGTAGTTAATTCCTCTCAAGTCATTGTATAACATAATGATAAACACCAAGAAAGATAAAAAACCATGACACTGAACAACTACCCCTAAGACATTTGTTTGCCAGAAAAGAAATAAGTTTTTTTAGATCATGTTGCTATTTTATCTCTGGTTATTGATAAATACAATTTTATAAGTGTCTCCTAATGCCCCAGGTACTAAAGCAGGTGTTGTATGTGCATGATTTCATTTAAGACTCATAACAAACTGTGAGTAAGGCAGTATTCGCCCCATTGTAACTAATCAAAAGAGTTCAATCACTTGCCGATGTTCCCACTGCTTGTAAGTGGCAGTGACTCTCCTTCCATGGGTATAGTGGCCAGAGATCAATAAATGCTTCCTTTTATTAGTGGCTCTTTGATTCTTTACGGTATAGTGGAGGGAAGAATTATGCCAGATGACCCTAGAGGAGAAGCTGTTCACTCTAAGTTCACTCTAAGTTCACTCTAAGAGGACTACTTTGTTAAACAATTTATTTGTTTTTTATTGTATATCTTTAAGCTGTGCAACATGATGTTTTACCGTATACATAGTGAAATGATTAATATAATTGAGCAAATGAACATGTCCATCATGTCACATAGTTACTTCTTTTTTGTGGTAAGAGCACCTAAAATCAGGCACTGTTTTAATTAAGCCTTTGACATGTGTTAAATCATTTAAACCCAATGATACCCCATTGTACAGATGAGGAAAACTAAGGTACAGAGGGTTTTAGGACGTTGCTCAAAGTTACACAGCCAGTAAACAGCAAGGCTAATCAATGTCTAGATCTGTACCGTCCAATGTGGTAGCCACTAGCCACATGTGGCAACTGAGTACTTGAAATGTGGTTAGTGTCACAGCATTTTTAATTTTTTAAAATTTTAATTAATTTAAATTTAAAGATGGATACTCATTTCAGTTATTGGAAAACTTTAAAATAAGTTTGTAATAAGTTGAGTGTGTGAATATACTTTTTCAACTGTAAGTTTCATGAAACCTAAATACACATCAAGTATTTTCAATAAACATTTAGCATCCAACTGAAATTCTCTGTATATGTAAAATACTTACTGGCTTTTGAAGACTTAGAATATAAAAAACAATGTGTAATGTTTCATTGGTAATTTTTTGTTGATGTTGAAATGATATTTTTGGATGTATTGGGTTAAATAAAGTAAAACATTAAAGTTAATTTCACCTGTTTCTTTTCACTTTTTAAATTACACATATGGCTTGCATTAATTACATTTATATTGGGCAGTGCTGGTTTTTCTGGCATTATCTCTGTCAGTTTTCATGTACCATTTACTATTTCTGAATGATTTTATTCACTTTAATATTCATGAATGTCAGGCCGGGCGCGGTGGCTCACGCCTGTAATCCTAGCTCTCTGGGAGGCCGAGGCGGGCGGATTGTTTCAGCTCAGGAGTTCGAAACCAGCCTGAGCAAGAGCGAGACCCCGTCTCTACTAAAAATAGAAAGAAATTAATCGGACAACTAAAAATATATAGAAAAAATTAGCCGGGCATGGTGGCGCATGCCTGTAGTCCCAGCTACTTGGGAGGCTGAGGCAGGAGGATTGCTTGAGCCCAGGAGTTTGAGGTTGCTGTGAGCTAGGATGACGCCATGGCACTCACTCTAGCCCGGGCAACACAGTGAGACTCTGTCTCAAAAAAAAAAAAAAAAAAAAATTCATGAATGTCTATAGTTTTTAGCAAATCATTTTTACAACTTGCTTAATTATGTTACTTATGAAAAATGTTCAAGAAGATAAGAAAATGGATAGAAATAGGACATTGGACTGGTTTATACCAGCTCTTTGGGGTCAGGGATTTGTAATAAATTATATGAATGTCTTGTTGAGCATATACATCTATATATGGTTTATATTTTAGAGAACATTAACCATCTATTATTTTAACTTCAGTTATTGAAAATTCCTTAAGAAGTTTTTTTCCCCATGTTTTTAGTTTCTTGGGGAAGCTATTTTGATTTCGCAATTAATTGGAACAAACATCTTGATGATGAAAATGTTAAGTTCATATTATATGAAGACCTGAAAGAGGTGAGACAATGATTGTTGCTATTCTAGAACAAGATTTATTATAAACTACAACATAGAGCACTTACTTATAATGTCTGATTGTATGAACATGTATGGTATTCAGTAAAAAAAATATTCTAAGGCAGGGCATGGTGTCTCAGGCCTATAATCTTAGCACTTTGGGAAGCCAAGGCAGCAGGAGGATTGCTTGAGGCCAGGAGTTCAAGACCAGCCTGGTCAATATTGAGACTCCCTCTTTACCAAAAAATTTTAAAAATCAGTCATGGGTGGTGGCTTGTACCTGTAATCCCAGCTACTCCAGAGGCTGTGACAGGAGGATGGCTTGAGCCCAGGAGTTTGAGGTTGCACTGAGGTATGATGACACCACTGCACTTTAGCCTGGGCAACAGAACAAAACCCTGTCTCAAAGAAAAAAATTCCAGATACGTGGTATAGTACTAGAAAAAAAACCATACATAAATCCTTAGGTTGTTTGTTTAACAGAAATAAAAATAATGCTTAGGAAGTCATTACTATTAATAACAGCAATGCTTTTTTTCCCCTTTATGATGACTAGTCCAAACTAGTGATCAAAAAAACATCAAAGTTGCAGTGAACTATGATGACGCTGCAGCAGTCTAGCCCAGGGGCAACAGAGCAAGATCCTGTCTCAAAAAAAAAACAACAAAAAAAACCACAAAGAAAAAGAAAAGAAAAAAACAATAGGTAGTTCTCATTGATTTAGTGGAACATACATTTGGTTTTCAATCTATTTTTAATCATTCATATTATTTTTTAAAAATTGTTTATTCACTTAACAAACATCTAAGGAGTGATCAGTCAGCATTGTTTCAGGCCCTGGTGAGACATCAATGAACAGACCAGATAATGTTCCCTGCCCTGGAGAAGGTTACAGGGGAGACAGAATGATAAATAATAAATACAATAAATTTTAAAATGTATGTAGTATATGAGAAAAAGAAACAGCATAGCTGGTTAATGAAAATTGGAAATGCCAGGGGGTGGGGGGTTAGAATGCTGGACAAATCCCAGTGTAAAATAGGGTGGTTTAGGGAGACTCCTTGAATGGATGTGATTTGAGCAGAGATCTGAAGGAGGTGAGGGAGTGAGCCAAGTAGGTTCTGGGGGAAGAGCAACCCAGGCAAAGGGAATCAACTGGAGCAAAGACACCAGGGCAAGAGTGGTCCCGGTGTGATTAAGGGACAGCAGGGAGGCTGAGGTGCCTGGGCCTGCAGGGATGAAGCAGGGGAGAACAGCCAATGAGAACAGGCTGGAGCGGGTAGGATGGAGTATGAGGAATGGAGTGGCAGCCCACTGAAATGTCTCTGGCTTTCACTCTGGGAAGCCACTGAAGAATTTGAGCAGAGGGTTGTTCAGAGCTGATGTATTTCTAACAGGATTATTCGGCTGGTGTGTGAGAATGAGCTGCGGCAAAGAGAACCGGGGAGACCTGTGAGGAGACCACTGCAGTGGTCCAGGCAAGGGGAGATGGTGGCTCAGACCAGAAAGGGGCAGTATAGCTGATGAGAAGTGGTTGAATTCTGGACATACGTTGAAGGAAGAGCCAACAGGATTTGCTGCTGGATTGGATGGAGGGGAGGGTGGTGAGAGAAAGAGAGAAGTCAAATAAGACTCCAATATCATTGGCCTGACCAACTGAGAGGGCTGAACTGCCACTAATTGAGTAGGAGATGGCAACCGGTGTGGCAGGATTATGGGGGAGGTCAGGCGTTTGGTTTTGAACAGTAAGTTTGAGATGTTTATGATTCATCCTAATGGAGACGCCAAGTAGGCAGTTGGGTATAAAAGTCTTGAATGCAGAGAGAGTCTGGGCTGTAGATAAAATTTGGAAATCATTGACACATAGATGGCCTTTAAAGCCATGGTATGCAATCCATGTATGTGTAATCTAGGTATATAAGAGAAGAGAAGGTGACCAAGAACTGAGCTCTGGAGCCCTTTAATGTACAGATTTTGGGAAAAAGAGGAGGAATCAGTCAAGGAGAATGAGAAGAGTGGCTAGTGAGGTAGGAAGGAAACCAGAGTCCTGGAACCACAGTGAAGAAAGTAAGTTAAAGAGAAGGGAGTGTGTCAAATGCTCTTTAACTTAATCTAGTCTTTAATAACAGTCTGCCATGATATTCTTATCAAAAGAAAGTAGAATTTAATCTACCCTTTCTGTTTATAGGATACGTGCTAATTTGGTCTTTTCTCCTTCCAGTTTAGAATAATATTTCTGAAACTTGTGCTCCATGGAATACCAGTATCGCCCTAGATGTTAATAATTCTTTCTTGGGGGTTGGAGAGGAGGTTGCTTATTCAAATAGATTTATGAACTGCTGTATTATATAGCCTGCTGTTTTGGCAATTCACATTGTGCATTGGTCTGTTAAAGACTTTGAGAGATCCTATAATAATAATAAAAAAAATTCTCACTTTTGTTTAACCCGAAGGATTCTAAGCTTATTTAACCTCAACCCTTCCCTCTCTTTTTTTCCCATGAAATTCTATAATCATCTTGGGGGTACTAACTACTGTTTTGTTGAATACAGTTTAAGAAACTGTTCTAGAAGATTTATGAATTTCCACTGGTCAGGCATAGTGTTGGTTGGTTCATGATTTACAAGGGTAGTTAAGATAAATTTCATGATTCCTTCGAGTTTTTATTATTCTGAAAATTAGACTTTCTTGGTGGAGTTAAACATTAGCTACAAATAGAAATCAGAAAAAAAGAAAATTTGAATGAGCACATACAAATACATTAATTTCCCCAGCTGGTCTAGAGTGATACTTATTTTTAAATTTTAATAAAACAAAATTTCTTTTTTTAGAGACAGGGTCTCTCTCTGTTGCCCAGGCTGGTACAATCATAACTCACTGCAGCCTCAAACTCCTGGCCTCAAGCAATCCTCCCACTTCAGCCTCCCAAAATGCTGGGATTACAGGCACGAGCCAAGTCTGATACTTTTCAATACAATCAATATCATCCTAGATACAATTCTAACCTACTAATTAATGCTACTTTATTATGTATATCCTAAAAAGTATTGTCGGGCAATTCAACGAGAGTCATACATTGAAACTACAAAGTATAATTGATACAAAGTATCTTATAGAGATATCTCAAATATTCACATAGGAATATCAAAGTACCCTAAGTTTAAAGACAGAGATAAGCAGATGAACTAGGGAGTTAGGCTTAATAATTAATTCCACTTTGACTAAAAAGCCTATTTTTTCTCAGGGCACAATTCCCATCGAAAGAAATTTATCCTGTAAAATTTTGTTTTCAGAATCTCACCGATGAAATAAAACAAATTGCTGAGTTCTTGGGATTCTCTCTAACTGAGGAACAGATTCAAACTATCTCGGCCAAGAGCACCTTCCCAGCCATGCGAGCAGCATCTCAGGAAACACACGGTGCCGTCGGCCCATTCCTGTTCCGCAAAGGCAAGTTCGTATTGGCTTCTGGGGTATCGCATCCCTACGGTCGGCTAGGGAGCAACTTTGCACACGACAGGCAACCCAAATATCGTTATCTTAAATAAGGAGTTTTATTTTTCTCTCTCTCAGTAAGTCTCAATACAGGCAGTCCAGAGCTGTAACTGGCAGCTCCACACTATCTTTTAGAGTGGCGGTCCCCAACATTTTTGGCACCAGGGACCAGTTTCACGGAAGACAATTTTTCCACGGATGGGGGGTCAGCAGAGCTCTGTGGCCCGGTCCCTAGCAGGCCATGGACCAGTAGCAGCAGTCCGGTCCTGCAGTTTTAGAGTACTAAGTTGTCACTTTTCTGCTTGTCACCTTGTAATGACAAGATGGCACCTGGAGCTCAACCGTTATGTTCAAGTTCCAAGTTCCAGGTAGGAAAAAGGAAGTGGGCAAGCGACATGTTATATAAGCTGATTGAGGCCCCTTGAAAGAGCTTTTCTGGAAGCCCCACTCAGCGACTGCTTACATTTCATTGTCTGCCTTCCCTGCAGCCGTGGCTGTGAAATGTGACTTTTTTTTTTAAAGCTAGGCACATACTACCCAATTCAAATCAGGGTTTTGTTAATAAGGAAGAAGAAGAAAATGAGTATTGGATAGGCAAGTAGCTGTCTCTGACACAGAGCATTTTTACGAAATTTCATTAAAGTAGTCTGAATTCTTATGGAACTTTCTGATACTGTAGCTTTATGATTGCTAGTTTTTTTATTACATATATATTGAAAGTATAATGAGATTTAGAGGTAGCACATATAACAGCAAGGACAACAGCAGCTAATATCAGGCATCTATCATGTATTAAACACTTTGTTGGATTTAAATTTTATAACAAAAAGAATATGAAATATTTAATTTTAAAAATGTAGGAATCAAAGCTCATGGATATCACTTTTCCATTGTCACATAGCTAATAAACAATGGAGCCAGGATTTGAGCCTAGGTCTATATGACTCTAATTTTTCAAATGAAGTTCCATTTTAAAGATCCACTGTGAAGGGAGCATTGAATATAAGTCTGACTTTGGTTTGATTCCTAACTAACCCTGATTTTATGCCTTGTTCTATTAGCTTTAAGGAGAGGGAAATAGAACTTTTCTATACATTGTTAATCAAGTACTATTCAGAATGGAAGAATTCTAAAGTAAATAAATAGTTTTAAAAATGTATGATGTTCCTTATAGAAAATTTATAGATCACAGAAAAATATGAAAAAGCACGAAAATTATCCAAATTTCTCCCACCAGAGGCAGATATAACTTTTTGGCATATTTCCTTCCATCCTTATTCTGTGATGTTTTATGTAGTTGATGACATTTTTAAATAGTTTTGTGTTTTTTTTAATTCCCTTACTATATTATAAGCATTAAAAAATAAAAAATTATAAAATCTGTCAGCATCTGTTTGAGTGAAGAAAAAATATATACGATAAGCATTTCTTTATGTAATTAAACTCTCTTTATTAACATTCATTTCAACGGCTATGCAATATGGAACTTACAGCTTCAACCCAAACGATCAAAAGATTCTTCAGAAAGCAGTAACTTCCTTTACTTTTTAAAAGTTTTTTTTTTTTTAGACAGGGTCTCACTCTGTTGCCCAGGCTGGAGTGAAGTGGTGCCATTATAGTTCATTTCAGCCTGGAACTTCTGGGCTTAAGCAATCCTCCCTCCTCAGCCTCCTGAGTAGCAGGGACTACAGGTGCACATGACCACCATCTGGCTAATTTTTCTATTTTTTGTAGAGATGCGGTCTCATTCTTTCTCAGGCTGGTCTCGAACTTTTGGCCTCAAGCGATTCTCCCACCTTGGCGTCCTGAATAGCTGGGACTACATAGGCGTACATCACCATGCCCAGCTAATTTTTTTCAGTCTAAATTTGACTGGAATTTAGCAGTGGGGGTTTGTGTGCCAACTTTAGTGACTTTTAATAAGTTCTGATAACCCACTACCATCAGATCAGCCTACTTCCTTTACTTTTAAAAGCAAGTAGGAAAAACAAATCCTAATCTCAGGCAACAAAAATATATTTTTTGCAAATATATTTTTTTTGGTATGTGAAGTATTAACCCAAACCTGCCATAAAAATGTTAACTCTTCAAAAGGTATTTAAAGGCCGAGCGCGGTGGCTCACACCTGTAATCCTAGCACTCTGGGAGGCCGAGGTGGGCAGATTGTTTGAGCTCAGGAGTTCGAGACCAGCCTGAGCAAGAGTGAGACCCCCGTCTCTACTAAAAATAGAAACAAATTAATCAGACAACTAAAAATATATAGAAAAAATTAGCCGGGCATGGTGGCACATGCCTGTAGTCCCAGCTACTCGGGAGGCTGAGGCAGGAGGATCACTTGAGCCCAGGAGTTTGAGGTTGCTGTGAGCTAGGCTGACGCCACGGCACTCTAGCCCAGGCAACACAGTGAGACTCTGTCTCAAAAAAAAAAAAAAAAAAAAAGGTATTTAAAGTATTTAAAAGACTTGAGAGAGAGAGAGAGACAAAAAAAAACACTCTCCAAAAGTAGAATTTTCCCCATCTCAAAAAAACAAGTGGAATTTTAAGTTCCAGGTGTTGGGAGAGGGTTGTGAGTGAGGTGCCCCCTCACCCATCCACCCAGTGATGTAAAAAAGCATGTCACCTGCCACACCACAGATGGGGGAGCCCCGATGAATATTGTTAATTTTACAAGAGAAATTCTATTAGTTTTAAGAGTGTATAAGTTTTTTCATGTGCCCATTTTCACATTGCAAAGTGAAACATTGCACTGAAAATGGAAAAATTGAGAAAAAATAATCTAACAAATATCTGGGTCTACTGTTCTTTCTGTGTTGCAGGTGAAGTTGGTGATTGGAAAAATTTGTTCAGTGGAGCTCAGAACCAGGAAATGGACGAAAAATTCGAAAAGAGCTTAGCAGGCACTTCCCTAGGAGCAAAGTTGAAGTATGAATCCTACTGCCAGTGTTGATTCTGGTCGATTCAGGAGGCCTAGATTTTTTATTTTCTTTAATAACAATAGAATTTAAATATTTAAATTTAAATATTGAATGATAACTCAATCAAATAATCAAATAATGATAAATAATATTTAAACTAAAGAATACAAATTTATAATGATAACATCTGAAATTTTTGAGCACAAATATGTCTGTTCACTTTTTGAGGAAAGGGCATTTAGCTGCCCCAAAAGGGACACTATTGTTAATGTATTATACTGTAGTTTTAACTTCTTTCATGCTCTGGGCTGACATAGAGTGTAAGGAGTTATTAATACTATCAGAAACGTACCTCGATCTGTGTTTGAGCGTAGACGAGACAGGCCTCCAAACGATGCACTCTTTTCTGCGCTTTCCTTATAATAACTTTTTTCTCACTATGCATCAAAGCACTTGTGGTGGCTATCTCAAACTTACTGTTGGGGGAATTTAATCCCAATTCTGCACTAAAATAAGATGAATAAATTCTATTCTAATTTAAGAAAAATGCAGGGTTCATCTGTTTTGTGTATGCCACTGTAGGAGCTTTATGGAGGCTCCGCTCTCAAGGGACTTTATATTTCTACTTAATATAATCTGTAATTCAATGCTAGAAGAGATTGTTATTCTACCATAAAGGCTTTTCTACACCAGAGCTCCAAGTAGTCATGTGGAACTAACAAGAGAAGATAGAGAATGTTCTAGTGACAACCTCCTTCTACCTACCTGACACTTCTCAACTTCTTAATAATCTTTATTATTTACACTGTAGCTAGTTTCACTCTAAAACTACATTATGTGCCATTAAGAATGGGATGATTCATAGAAATGTTAAATAAAATTTCTCTGAGAAGGGTTATAGGACTACCATTTCTGGGAGTATGGTGGATTAGATAAACTAAAACCCCCTCCTTGAAATGCTAAGAAATGCTGAATAAAAATTCTTAAAAATTCTTGGGGGGGGGCAGTGGGGAGGCAAGGGCAACATACATAACCTAAACATCTGTACCCCCATAAAATGCTGAAATAAAAAAAAAATTCTTTTAGACGCATAGCTCAGCTCTCAGTAAACAAATTTATCAGAAACCAAAACCTGACCAGCCTGAGCAAGAGTGACACCTTGCCTCTACCAAAAATAGCAAAATTAGCTGGGTGTGGTGGCATGTACCTGTAGTCCCAGCTACTTGGGAGGCTGAGGCAAGAGGATTGCTTGAGTCCAGGAGTTTGAGGTTGCAGTAAGCTATGATGACGCCACCACTGCACTCTACCCAGGGTGACAGAGCAAAAAAACAACAACAACAAAAAAAAACCCCAAAAAAATAAAAAATCACAAAAGACAAACAAACCCAAAAACAAAAAAATGAAACCGAAATCTAAGAAGGAACAGGGAACTAAAACAAGAATCAGATGACATTAAGCTGCCACTGAAGGATTTGTGGGAAATAGAGGGGAAATAGAATAGAATGAGGGGGATTGGCAGTGACAACAGGGTGAGGGTGGTGATGCAACTTAAATAGTATAGAAGGGAAGGGCCTCACTGAGTAAGTGACATTTGAACAAGATCTGTGAGCAGGTGTCTGGAGGAAGAGGATTTCAGGCAAAAGGAACAGCAAGTGCAAAGGCACTGAGGCAGCAGTGTACCTGGCATTCTTGAAGACAGCAAGGAGGCCAGTGTAGCTAGAAGGGAATGAGGGAGGGAAAGAGTAATAGGAGATGATAGGCAACCAGGGGCCTAGACATGTAGAATCTTACAAGCCCTTGAAGACTTTGGGTTTGACTTTCAGAGTAATGAGTTTTAAGCACAGAAGTGACATAATCTAGTTCACAGGATCACTATGGCTGGCTTTTTAGGATAGACTCTAGGAAGGAGAAGAGACAAGGATGAAAGCCAGAAGACAAGCAGGAGATGACAGTGGCTTGGACCACAGAAGTGATGCAGGGCAGTTCTCCAGGTGGCCTTGGACTCACCCAGTTTCCCCCCTTTTTCACTTGTAGTTCTCAAGAATAACTGTGGAATGTGCTGGGAATGCAACATCTTAAGATAATGAGGAGCTGGCCAAACAGCCTGGCTCTGTTCCAGTTCCCCCTAGAAACAGAATGTTCTTTAACACTTTAGCCTAATGTGTCATGTGGCCTCGGGGTATAAAACCCAGAGTGACCTGCTTTCTAGGGTCCCTCAGCTGTGGTGCAAGTGGGACACACACAGATGGGACTCCATCTGCTTCAGGCAGTTTTCTTAAGCCTTAGGGGACCAGCAGACAATGACTCCCAGGCTTCCGCTGTCCCTTGCTACCTATCTGTAAGTTATAAACCCACTCATAGAACTTGTTATGGGTGGATGTTCTGTCTCACTGGACTCAGATAAGTTGGTAACCAGCTGCCATCCAAAATGCAGGACCCTGCCATTGCCACTGCTGCCACCACAGATGGTGGTGAACTGCTTAGCTGCTCCAGCTGCTGGAGCTAGCACATTGGCTGTCTTCATCTTCATATCATCTTTAGAATCTTTTCCATGCATATTTCCTGGGTTTCGGTTGATAAAAATTAGTGAAATCTTGCAATTCTTTTGTTGTGTAAACCATCTCCTCTTGACCAGATCTTTTTTTTTTTTTAAGTGGACAGGAAGTAGGATTTATTGGAGGGTATGAATAAGGAGGGGCAGCACTGTGGAAGCCCTCACAAGTGCCGGGCCCACCACTTGTCCAGGGTCTCAATTAGATCTTGTCTATATCCTCTTGGGGCACGTTAGCATCTGATTCTACTTCTAGGGGTGAAGACACGAGGTGGGGATGGGGCATCTGGACAATCAGCAACTTCTTGCAAGATGACGGCTTCCAGCTCTGCAAGCGAGGCTGTACCAGCCTCATCAGACAATGGTGGAAAAGCTGCAGAGATACAGCAGAATTTGGGAGGGAAGTGGTACTTGGATTCATTCAAATCCACCCAAATTCCCAGGGCTTCCTTCTTTCCCAATCAATGCCCTCAGTGTTCACGGTAGGAACCTGATGAGGCTGCAAATTAAATTTATCTTGTCATTCTGCTACCTGCAGCATTAGGCTTCACACCTGATCTTTACAACATTGGCCCCAAGGCTACATGAAATAAGAGGTTCTTCTTGGGCAGTCATACAAGCCTGGGTCCTCTGATCATGCTTCAGTTTGTCATTTTTCTTTTTTTATGCTCTCTCGTGTAGTCCAGGGGCTCAAAAATTCAGAAAACTTGTCCCTGCTATTGCCATTGCAGCTGCCACAGCCACCCCACTTCCATGAAGCTGACAAATGGACACCTGCAAACACCCACCGCTGTCACAGCTTTCTTGTCACCTGGAAATGCCACAGAAAGATGGCTCTACCTCCTGTCTACCCTCTAAACCTCCCAGCAGTGCTTCACATTTGGGGAACTTGAACCATGCCCAGAACCTGAGCTACAAGGGAAGTGTACGTTTCAGCTGGGGACACTGCACTACAGGGGGAATGTACAAGGGAGGCAGGAGTGGAGGCACAATAGTTAATGTATATTTGAGGTCTATCTTGGGACGACCTTCCTCCCTCACCCCAGCTAAGATGTTGAGAGTACAGACTCCTGGTTCTAATTTTAGCTCCACTGCTTACTAGCTGTGTCACCTAACTTCTCAATGCCTCGAACCTCAGTGTTCTCATCCGTTGAATGGTATTAATAGTGGCGCCTATCTCCCGGTATTGTTGTGAGGATGTATGTATTGACCAGTGTGTGAGACAAGGCAAATCCTCAATACTCTTAAGTCACTGTGACAGTGAGCCAGTGTGACTCTGGGAGTGTGTCACAAACCATCAGGTGAGTAAGATTTATTATAAATAGAGGGCTACTTGGATTGCACTTTGGTAGGAAACTCCACGAGGTCCTGTGGGAAGCAGGTGGCTCTCCTTAACTGCAGGACTGGCCCCCAGGTGCCTGGTACGGGGGCAGGCAAGTACCTGTCCGTCCGTGGATGGGTGGGTGGGAACGGACTGAAGGGCGATTCCATCCCCGGCCTCTCCTCACCAACTTTGTGGACTCGAGGGAGCAGCAGTGAGGAATGGAGGGAGGGGCACAGGCCCCGATTTGAACTGGATCCTGGGGTTGCCACCTACCAGCGGAGGGTCCCTGGGTGAGTTCATTTACTCAGTTTCTTCTGTTGTCAACTGGAGCCGATAATATCCACCTCCCCAACCCCACCCCAAATGTTTGCGTTGAAGAATAAATGGGATCACAGCGAGGCAACAGGGTCCTCTCCTCCCGGCCGACCCTTCCCCACAGGGGTCGGTAACTGGCCCGGGGGCGCCAAGGGCGCAGGGTCCCGACGCCGCGGTAACTGCACTTGGGTGTGGAGCCCGCCCAGGGGGGCCTCCCGCGCACCCCGCGGGGCAGCAGCGGACTTGTGCGGGAGGGGCCGGGTGGCGGAAGAGGAAGGAGGAGTCCGCGGGGAAAACGAAACCGAGAGCCAGCCGCCCAGACTCGGCTGCGCTCCGCCCGGCGCGGCGGCGCAGGGTCAGCTGGGCTGGTGGGCGCCGGAGAGCGCGGGGACGGCGTGGACGCGAGCGGCAGCCCCCGGCCGGGCAGCACCGGAGCGCGGTCCCAGGCCCGCAGCCCAGGTGGGGGCCCTTCCCGGATCCCTGGAAAGGATCACGGAGCGCGATGGCAACTGAAAGCCATTTTCCTCCCACGAAAAATTTTGTTCAGTGCAGGTAAAAACTCCCCCAGGCAGAGACTGGGGGGTGGGGGAGTCTAGGTGAAAACGGATCGATCTAGGACTCAGACAGACGGGAAATATGGAGGCCTGAAATACCCATAGATTGGCTAAATAGTCTCTGGCTAAAAAATCTCTTGCCTGGAGGGTTGCAATAGTTTCCCAATTGCCCAGTCTCAGCTCCTGCCCCCGCTCTGT